TTACTGTAGTGGGCTTGGGGCAGCAATCCAGATATGTATACAACAGACTTGTGTACGAGACTTCGACTCACAAGCAATTTCCAAAGTGTTCTCATATCGTGTCAGCGTCTGTCTATCTCAAAGCGCACGAAGCTTGGCATGCTGAAGTGGTATCGTGATGTGTGCAAGCCAAAGTGGAATAATTGCGAAGCTAACTCATTGCCTATTCACTTGAGTGATAAATCGCTATTCTTCCACTGCAAGCAAGATAATCCATGGGTGCTTTACTTCAATGATAGGATAAGGCAGAACCACATAACCATCTATGATTGTTGTGTAGCAATTCGCTACAGAAGGAAACTGTGGGGATGATGGGATATACAGATGGTCGGATCCTTGCCTTACGACAAAGCCATTTTGAAATCCATGCTCCCTGCATCGCTGCTTCGGTACTGTCACGCACAAGCCGCGCTGCAGAGTTGAATCCACACACCACCCACACAGGCCACGAAAAATCAGAATTTGAAAAAAGAAAAGAGCAGACATTACGTGTCACAATAAACGACACTTCCACAATGTCATGTGCTGCACCTCACTGTTTCAAACATCCACAACCGAGCAAGTAGCCTAGCTCAGTTGGTTAGGCACTCAAATGGCATTCAGGTGGTCATGGGTTCAATCCCCACTGACCACCTGCGGCACTCTTGGTGCCAACCAACTGAGATAATTGGCTTGCTCCCCCTGTTCAGTATTGATAGGGTCTTTGGCCATCACAGGTGTGTGTGTGTTTGTGTGTGGGTTGTGTGGTGTGTGTGGGAGAGTGATGGCCATAGACATTGCTGTTACTCGATGGGGGCGGGGAAAGTAGATGGGAGGCGCAGCTACTGGCAAAATGCTTGATTTTTGCGTCCACCTGGCAGGGGGGGGGGGGGGGGGGTTCCCCCCCCCCCCCCCCCCCCCCCTCTGGCAGCCCCACCCTACTCCCTGACCACCTCCAATTAGGGTGGGGGACAACATGCATCCCCTTAACTCTGAAAGGTAGCTATGCTTTCAGGGGTCCCCTGTATAGGCTTTTAGGAGTAGTGGTAGGTAGGGAGTGAAAGGTGAATTGAGAAAAGAATATAGCTTAGTTAAAACAAACAATCAAACAAACAAACATCCACAACCTTCTCCCTCTCTCAACATCATAGGCCCCTTGTCCCCTGTCACCTCCCTCTGTACCACTCTCCCCATCTACATAAACATGCCTGCAGTGAGAGTGACAAATTTTGCACTGTCCAGTGCTAGTAATCACCTGCACAATCAAGCATGACGGACCACTGAAGCAACTATAGCCTACCAGACCATCCAACCGGGCGACCATGTGACACTGCTCTGTGGCTGGGTGACTTGTTATGCAGCTGTGTACCTGGCAATCTCACGGAGTATGGCCACATACTAACGACCAACCGAGGGGCTGTGTGCTGCATCATTGCAACTGCGCGGCTCTGCGACTCAGTAACGTACCTCTGACCATAACTGAGCAACTTGTGGCTAGTGTAACAAGGCAACTCTACAGCGACATTGTATTTCTGCCACGGATAGACCAACAACTTTAGCAAGGATAAGTGAGCCCAGGCTTGCACAGATGCCATTAATCAGCAATTACCCGCAAACTATTCAATCCACCTGAAGAGAGAAGAAAAGCAACACATTCCAACAAACCGACACTGCGTGGGGTAACTCCAGCCCAGTAGGTATCAGTGAAGGAGCGCGGCAAGCCACGTTGTACAGTGCATAGAAGTTTCAGTGACATAGTCACCGCGTCAATCAAGGCAGGCAAGAATGAGATGGATTGACCAGCCTGCTGATCAAAGAATAGTACCGAACAAGAAGGGGAAGGGCAAAGGACGCACAGTAAGGAGGGACAAAAGCTGAGGAGACAGATACAGACAAGGCAATGCGGTATAACAGAGGGGGAGAGACAGAAGGGTTTAGAGACAGGACAGGAAGGAAGAACAGAGGAGAGGAATTGGGAGGGAGGGGCAGAGGACAGGAAGGGGGAGGGGATAGAGGGGAAGGGGGGGAGGGAGCGTAGGGGCACGAGAAGTCAATGGTTAACGGGGACCCCCACTTTCAGCTCCTGACTAACGGGTCCAAAACTGAAATTAGGGTTTGGGGGTCAAATTTTATTTGCTTGTAATGACCCGCCATAACACAGACTGAGAACACTGCTGATTTCTGAGTTCTGCCGATGGAATGGATGCCTTGCTGAGATTCCCGCATTCTGCTGAGTTTTCTAATTCTGTGTGTGTGTGTGCGTGCTTGGTGACCTGCATGCCTGTCTGAGTGCTTGTCGGCCTGAGTGTGTGTGTGACCCTCAAGGGTACTTGGTACTTACCTGTGGCCGTGACATTGAGGGTTGCGGCGGGGGGAAAGCACTCAAGTGGCGGAGCAAGAGGCCCGCAACACTTAGAGCGGCGGAAAAACACTCGAGTAGCAGGTAGGCCGGTACCGCACCAAGTAGAAGAAGATGTGCCGGGTACTCGAGGCCAAGCAGAAAAAGACAAAGTTGGCATTTTTAGAGGCCCAGTAGCGGTAGGCTAGGTCTAGGCGGGTACCAGTCCAACCAGTCTGAGTCTAAAGCATGTACAGGCAATATCAGAGTCTGCAATGATGTTTCCCTCCGAAGGGAGGAGGTACCGGTTGCTTGGGAGGCCGAGCGGCCTGGAAGTCACCGCCCAAGAGGCAAGTAGGCCGCTATATCTTCGGGCTGAGCCAAGAGCTCAGCGTCATTCTTCGGTGTGCAAGTTAGGCGACACACTGCTTGGAGCGCTGGCTGGAGGAGCGCTGGGCACTACGTCGCTGCTAGGAGGAAGAAGACCCAGAGCTCCAACCGCGGCTATGGTGGAGCTCTACCGGGAGGAGGAGGGAGAAGAGGACCGAGGAGTGGCGAGTTACCTGCCTGGCTATGGTGGACACCATCTTCATCACCTTGATAGGTGCTGCACCTGGAAGGCCCCAGTTGGGGTAGTGCCGCACCAAGGAAGCTCGAGGCAGAGTCAGGCATGGCGGCTTGATGAGCAGCAACATAGCTGCTTTGTGTTGTCCTTTGGACAGGACAGCAGCAACATAGCTGCTTAGATTGCTGCCCTGGGTTGTCCTTTGGACAGGAGGGCAGAGCCCTCGGTAGTCCGCCGTAGCCTTGGCCTACATAAAGAGGAAGAAGAAGGATGGTCATGGCTATAGTGGACCTCATGTTGTGCCTGCAGTAGAAGAGGGATTCGGACATTGATTCTGGTTGAGACATTCAACATTATTATTGTTATTTCTTGTTTGAAGGAGCAGGAGAGTGGTTGGCGACGAAGAAGAGCCTGACCATTGGTCTATGCTGGCTTCTTCTTCTTCTTCTTCTTCGTCTTCGTCTTCTTCTTCTTCTTCCTTCTTCTTCCTTCTTCTTCTTCTTCTTCTTCTTCTTCTTCTTCTTTCCCTCTCTCTCCTCTCAAGCTCATTCATTTCTTTTTGCAATTGGACGGCATTGTACTTTCTAATGAATGTGTACTTCGAATTGGCCAGGATCGTAACATTGGTGTCAGAGCGGATGCTACTTGCTGGCGAGAGTTGACTTTGCCGCCATAACCCTAACCTAAGTGGTTAGGGCTAACCACTTAGGGTTAGGGCAGGAAGTTAGGGTTAAGTGGGGCAGCGTGGTAAAAGGGAAGCTGCTCCCACCTGGCAGGCTCTCGTAAGGTCGACAATAGACCCGGCCAGGTTGCTAGTGTGTGTATGTGGTGGCGAGACACAAGGTGGGACTTCGTGATGCAATTAGAGAGAGGTGACAGTGAAGAGCACCTACAACTGGAATCTGGACTTCAGGGAAGACAAGGAGCGACTTTAGGGCTCCCCTCAAGTTAGGCGAGCTTGAGGGTGGCAGCCATATCTGCACCAACAGACTGCAAGTTGCTACTTCAATCTTCAACATCGATGGGGGATCCGCNCCCCTCAAGTTAGGCGAGCTTGAGGGTGGCAGCCATATCTGCACCAACAGACTGCAAGTTGCTACTTCAATCTTCAACATCGATGGGGGATCCGCCATTGTACTTTGGGGTAGAAGTTGACCCTCCTAGATGATAGGACACTAGTGTAGAGGATGCTGATTGGGTCAGGAGGACTATGTGAGAAGGGGGTGAGTTTCATTTCGTCCCAAGAGCCCGGCCACTCAGGTAAGTGCCATGCCACAAAGGTGCCCATGTGTGTGTGCACGGAATTGACTGGTTGTTGGGGTATTTTGGGTTCTTCTTCCATCCTCTATGGTCTTGATCTTGTGTTGAAGTGTGTGAACCGCATTCTCACCTGATGAGTGAATTGATGGAGTATCTTGTGCACAATGCCATATCTTTCTACGATACTTTATTTATTTCATTCTGAATGGCTGTTGTCTGTAGGTTCTTTCTGGAGTTGAAATTCGTTTTTTAGTACGGTAGGGACAAAAAGTAGGTCTTTGTGGAACTCTTGTTGGTTGGGATTCAGTCTTGACTCAACTGGGACCTTTTTGGACCCAGCAGGATTGGGCCCAAGCAAGAAGGGCCCCTCAGACCCAAATCTGTTGACGTCAGTCACCTTGCTCTACCTTGCTGGGACTCGGAGATCATGCTTTCAGACCAGGACACTCGTTGCTGAGGGGATCTCAGCTGAGACATTTCACGGACTTTACCGCACGGTCCGCCACTTACTCACACCTTAGACAACACTCAATTCTCTCTTGCATTGTGTAATACACTTTGAATTTGATTTGCTGTGTTTTTACAGGACCGAGTCCAGCTAGGCTCGAGGGCATCTCATACATAGTCGGACCAGACTGTGTTGCTGAATCGGATCTCTCTAATTATTTTATTTTAATTTTTTGTCTGCTCTCGAGTCCAAATGAATTGTCGTTCCGGCTAGGAGTTCTACCTTCTCTTCTAATTGTTTTTAGGTTGTTTATTTCATTGGGTTGACAAATGACTGTACCGACGTGATCGCAGACAAAGGAGAGAGGAAAGAGAGAGAGAATACTGAGCGTCTTTCTTGAGGTGTCAGAAAAGGTAAACGGAGTGTTCGTCCGAAGAAGAGTGCAGAGAGTACTTACCTTGAGAGACTTGCCCAGAGACTTGCCCAGACTTTTTCTGACTTGCATATTGAAGACCCCGGTAGGACTAACATGGCAGCAGCAACAGTAAAAGCTTCGGTGAGTCTGAAGCCACAAACGGATGCCGCAGATGCAGAGGATAAGCCACTCTTTAAGGCCCTCTATGAGAGTGCACTGAAAAAGGAGGCGAAGTTGGAGGAAGAGGCGTCAGAAGGAAGGAGGAATGTCACTATACAAGGCCAAAATTGTTCCCGCCTTACCAGATGAGGAGATAAAGCCACACTTAGTCGCCTACGTGTGAGGACTAATCGACTGCCACATGATGGACCTTCTCCCCGGCTTGGTCTCCCAACTGTTTGATCAGGTAAAAGATATCGGGGGAACTATAGCCCGGATGGAGAAGGCTCACAGTGACCAACTGCAGAAATTTGCAGATCTGCACTCAACCCCCCACTTCTGCCAAATGCATCAAATTTTGCAGCTTTGTCTACCACCTACACCCCTCTCTTCTCTTCTTCATCCTTCAGCTTGATGAATATGGGACCTGAAACAGGTGCACCTTCCACTACTACAGCAGAAAGTAGCGGCGCAGGGAGCTCTGCAACTGGTGCAGTCCCAGTTCCAGTTCCTGCAGATCCTGGTCCTAGTAATGGCTTTCCCTATGTGGATAAGAAGGCGGACGTGTTACCGCCCAGATACGAAGGGAAGGACAATGTCATGTCCGAGCTCGCGGCCATGCGAGCATACTTCGACATTTTGGTAACTTCCCCCGTTACTCAATCCGTTATCGTGGGAACCAATGTCGTGCTCGAAGTATGGAGTTGGGTTGAGCTCCAAGCCGTACAGGCCGGATATGCCAGACTGGATACGAACAAGTGGCTAAAGGCCACTGAGATCACTGCATTCGAGGAACTCTTCATAAAACGCTATCAGAATCCAAACGCTGCAGCAAGAGCAAGGTACCGACTTGACTATATCAAACGCAGCAAGTGGACGAAAAGTAAGAAAGACCTAATGACACATCTCAACAATCTCTTTGCCACACTAGGCTTGGAGATAACAGCACAATCATATCTAGATGTTGTCAAAGGCACGGTACCCTCGACCATTACTAATCGTCTTGGGCTAGGACTCGACAAATACACAGACTGGCGTTCCCTCATGAAGGATGTAGTCAGGCTAGAAACACAAGACCTCTTCCACGCAGCAGGTAGTGTCAAGAAGACCTTTGGTTGCGGATGGCATAGAGGCAGCAGTCGTTTTGCATCACACGACCTGCTGGAGTCCGATGATCAGGCTGGTGCAAATGGTTCTACTCTTGATGATGATCAAGAGCAAGATGTTGACCTAGCGTGTTCTTCAACTTACGAGTCT